TTTAATATCAATTAATCTTTTGTAAGATGTCAGAATGATATAAATGTATTTCCTATCAATGAAATACAAAATGATAGAAAGCATTTCAGGAATTTTGGATTGCGTCAAGTCTTAACCAAATTGCCGCTAATTTTATAACTATTTTGAACTGCTTTAAATTCAAACCTTCCTCCCCTTAAATGTTTACGTAATAATTGAAGAGCCCCATACTTGGAAGTCACCAATCAGGTCTAAAGCACTCAATATTGCCAACATTGGTCTTGTTCTCGAATATTAAAGTAATTTGAACGATCCCAAAACCCTGTAATTGCGCTCAATAAGACCACATCTTCGTTTAGTTCGTGTCCAATTCCAGTCAGTGACTGCCAAGATACGTGACCTCATTCATTTCGTTTCTTACTAGGGTCATGTGATGGCCCCGGAACAGATTCCGTAAGCCCTGGGAGAGGTGGTCAATTTTCACTTCAAAAGAAAATCATCGAGCTGCATATCGTTGTTTTTAGAAATATATGGGAATCAGAATATTTCTTGGATCACATAGTGGCCCCGGAACAGGTTCTGAAATCCCTGGGAGAGGTGGCCTATTTTCCGCTTTATATATAAATTAATCTCTTCAACAATACGCTGTTTTAAGAAAACTGTGGAATACTTTAGTGAAATAGAACTGAAGATGTATGAAGTTCTACGGCTCAGTGATCCTTCAATAGTTATTGAACTTGTCGAAAGTTCTGTAGATTTGTCTTGGAAACTCGGTGGACCTAACGAAGGATCTATGAACTTGTCGGAATTATTGTAAATTTGTTGGATGTTCTATAAGCTGTTGGAAGATTCATTAAATTTATGGAGGTTATACACTTAAAGCTTGGAGTAAGTTTTACTCATGAATTTATCGAAATATTTTTCGGTCTGTATTATCGTGATTTTTAACCGTAATCTAGTTTGTAGCAGCTTTATCAAAAGATCTGTGAATTTATCAAAAGTTTTGTAAGACTGTCGGAAGCTATTTTGATTTTTCAAAAGTTCTGTTAACTTGTCGTTTTCTTTCTGAAGTTTCGCTTGTCGGAAGTTTGACAGTTAAAATTTGTAGACTAAAGAGACTGAATTTGGTAAAGAGGCGACATCTTATCCATTTGACAGGTCTTCTGCTCGATTGGAATAACTTTTCCTATGACTGACAGAAAATCGATTGTTCCAATTTTGACATGTCGTCTCTTTATAAATTCAGCCTCTTTATTGTAGACGTGTCAAAATTTCGGTAAACATATCGGAAATTCTGGGATTGCAGACATAACACATTGAATATTTCTCACTGAAAAACATCGTCGCTAAAACATAACCGCCATCTGTTGAGTACACTGTGGTGGGTAGTACGCTGAACAGATGGCGGTAGTGTGAAAACGTCAAACGCAAGGAAATTAACTATGCGCACCACAGGTGGCGGTACTACCAACTAAGATACTTTCAAATTGACCGATAAATGCTTGTTCGATGAACAACTTGCGAGTGTTATGTCTCTTTGTCTGTGGTTATATGTAGTTCTAGGAACTTATTTTAATTTTTGGTAACTTTGGAGAAGTTTGTGAACTGCTCTGAAGTATTTGGAATAATTGACTAGAATTTCAATCTGAAAACTTTTTGATTTTCTGGGAAACTCTCTACTCCTGCTTTTGAATGCTCATGTTCTTTACAGGAGCATTCTTCAATGGCGTAGCATTTTTTTATTATTTTAAGACCCGCTTTGTAGCGCATTACCCCATACTTAATACATGGAATGTCATGTTGACAAACCCTCGTCCCCCCAAGTTCTTCGTCATTGAAGTACACTGGGGTCTTTTTTTTCGCTGTTTTATTTTTCGCAATTTTCTATGCTCGGATTTTAAATTCCTGCGGTTTATTTTCGGATGGATTTTTTTTTTCTGCTGTTCATGTCTGATTTTATTAAAGAAAATCGTCTGCTTAAAAAATGAACCACAGTCTTAATGTTTTCGAAACTTCTCTGAAATTTTGGGACGTAAAAAATAATTCTAGTTCAATAACACCTAAGATCCTGGTCACTTAGACAGGTGATGACTTGAGCAAAGTTGATCAGATACTCAAGGACTGCTGGATGGTGGAATAAAAAAAATCGGAATTCTCTCACCAGGTGGCGCTAGTGGGAATTCTAATTCGATGAGTTTTGTACTGCAATATCTCAAGATCCTGCTGATTTAGACGAATGATTTCTTGGGAAAAGTTTATCAGCAGTTCAAGGACTATTTATTGGCGGACGGTTCGGAATTCTCCCGCTAGGTGGTGCTAGTGAGCATTGAAAGCCAATATGTTTTGTGCTACTGTATCTCAATATTATGATTATTGAGACGAATAGTTTCTTTGGCAAATTTGATCAGGAGGACAAGGATTGTTGGATGGTGGAATTCTCTCGCTAGGTGGCGCTAGTGAGCATTCCAATAGTTTTATCTCAAGATCCTGATGATAAAGAAGAATGACAAGGGCTGTAAGATGGTGGACAGAACAATTCGGTATTCTTCCGCTAGGTGGAGCTAGTAACCATTTAAAGCTTACATGTTTTGTACTGCTGTTTCTCAAGATTCAGAGTATTTAGATGAATGATATCTTTGGCAAAGTTTATCAGGTAGCCAAGGGCTCTTGAATGGTTTACAGTACAATTCGGAATTGCGGAAATACCGCAAGGCTCCTCTTCCTAGTGTGGAGTTAGGTAAAAAGTGTGCGTTTGATGAATACTGTCGCATTAATGGCCCTTCACTCAATTTTCAACTTCTGTTCAATTTTCACACTGCCGTACTCTAACGGAACTATCAATCATCCTCTTCATTACTTTGTCTACCTAATAAATTGTCGCACTATAGCCTCACGTAGCAGCATAGCATTTCCTCCCAACTCTAACAATATTTTATTTGTCTGCTCTTCCTCTATCTGGAAAATTTCAAAATGTTATGTTAAAAATCCCACCAGCCTTGACCTCCAGATCAAGTTTGCCAAAGACATCATCCGTCTAAATAATCAGGATGTTTAGATACAGCACTACAAAACATTTTTGGTTCACATGCTCACGCTGCCTAGTGGGAGAATTATGAATTGTTCTGTCCACCATACATCTGTCCCTGATCTCCTGATCAACTTTGCGGAAGGCATAACTCATCTAATTAATCAGAATCTCGATAAACATTAGTACAAAACATATTTACTTTGAATGCTCACTAGCACCGCCTAGTGGAAGGATTCCGAAATGTATCCATCATCCAACTGTCCTTGGCCATCTGATCAACTTTGCCGCAGGCATCACTCGTCTATACTATCAAAAAAAAAATGCAACATACCTTGGGGGATCAACTGTACTGAATAAACCATTCGTCTATATTATCAGAATCATGAGTTATAGCAGCACGAAACATACTGACTTTGAATGAATGCTCACTAGCGCCATCTAGCGGGAGAATTCTGATTCGCCCTTTCCACCATTTAAGTGTCCTTGGCCACTTGATAAACTTTGTTGAAGACATCATCTGTCTAAATAATCTGGATCTTGAGATACAGCAGTAAAAACTATACTGACTTTGAATGCTCACTAGCGCCACAGAGAACAGACATTGAGGCTCGAACAAAATTTATGTAAAAACTAGTGTAAAGATTCCTATTCGACTTAAGCGCCACCAACGCCGACTTCCCCACTTAAAACCCCTCTTTGACAGCATGATGGCACTGACGTTGCACAAATTACACTAGACACTAAGTGCTTGTAGCGCCGAGTGGCAATTTTCAACAGAAAATTTATCGACAGTAGCGCCAAATTGGCTGAAAGTGGAAAATTTATGGACGAAATCAGGAGATGCTAGCGCCACGTAGCTGCGATGTTCCCACTTATCTTTACACAAGTTTCTGACGGAGCTTGGACGTCTGTTCTCTGTGCTAGCGCCGACCTCCTGTTCAACTTTGCTGAAGAAATAATTCGCCTATATCATCACGATCTTGAGATACAGCAGCACAAAACATATTGACTTTGAATGAATGCTCACTAGCGTCGCCTAGCCTAAGAAATCTGAATTGTTCTGTCTACCATCCAATGGTCCTTGACCTCTTGTTCAAGTTTGCCAAAGAAATCATTCGTCTAAATTATCAGGATCATAAGATACAGCTGTACAAAGCATACTGACTTTGATTGCTCACTAGCGCCGCCTGGCAGGAGAATTCCGAATTGTTATTTCCATCAATCAATAGTGCTTGACCACCTGACAAACTTTTCTGAAGATATCACCCATCTAAATAATCATAAAATATTCGGATTTTACCTGAACCTTTGTAAAGTAATATATTATTTGAAAATCTATACAATTCTCTTCTCTAAACTTCTCAGAAATGCTGTGAAACTTCACAAAAAAATTTTAACTTCTGTAAAGTTCTGAGAATTAAAAATAAACTAAGTTTTGAGAACTGCTCTGAAATTTTGGGAAATGATTTTCAAATTCTGATGATCTTTGAACTTCTCTGAAATTCCAAAAACTTCTATAAACTTCTGTGAAGTTCTTATAATTAATTTAAGATCTTTCTATGAACTTCTTTGATGATGTTGGTTCAAAAATAGATCGTAGCTAAAGATTCTATGAATCTAATTTGGTATATTTCTGTTGTTTTAAAATCTGTCATTAGAGCAAAATTTCAAAAGAAGAAAACTTTATTGCAAATCATCATTCAAATATGTCAAACAAAGATTGTGCAATGCACAACACACATTTATAATCTTCGATGATTTCGATGGCGAATAGTGCAATTTCCGGGCACCTAGTATGCATCGGAAACGATTTTTCAGTACTCCGATGGTCCGTTCAATTATGCCCCTCCCTACACTATGCAACCTATTGAAGTTGCTTTCAGGACTTCCATCCTCCGGTGCTCGGTGTGGAGTTATCAACCATGGCTCAGATGGGTAACCTGCATCGCCTAAAATAAGATTTAGAACATAATCCGATCCCTAAGTATCCCATTTATTTTAACGACCAAGCATTACCTAAGATTTTAATGTTTGTGTCGCCATTTATATGCAGCTGCTGCATGTATCTTCGAGCCGAGCTTAACCCCCACACATGCGAATCATGATTGGATCCTTGATATCCGGCATCTACGAAACGAATTCGTTGTGTGTCGTCACACATCTATAAAAATACATATTGTAAGCATACAGGAACATAAATATTACAAAGGTTACTTACGATCATAACATTCAAGCTATAAAATCCTTTCCGGTTGTAAAAAAGGTTGCGGTTTACATTCGGAGGAATAATTTTTATATGTGTTCCATCAACACACATGATCACGCCAGGGATACCAGATTTCTCATAGAAAAATCGTTTTGCTCGACGCATTTCTTCATTTGACATGCGTATGTTTATCCACTGAGGACAAATTTTCCCCTCGAAAACAGTAAGAATTTCTGAAAGGATCTTTGAAAACGTTGACTGAGCTACTGCGACATCAAAGTCTTTTCCGGTTCCATGCTGATAGCTGCCTTCGGCAAAGAAACGAAGACAAGCTGCGAGTTTCTCCTTCACGGAAAGGGCTCCTTGCCTTTGAGGGGGAAATTCGTCAGTAATTTCGCCAAGGATGTACAGAAATGCTTCCTTGTTCAACCGGAAGTTTTTGATGAATCTAAAACAAAATTACAAGCATTAGGACACAGTTGTTGTTGTGTAAGTGGCTATGTTGTAATCTGTTGTAGAAGATGTGAGAAGATGTAAGCAGTTATATAAGTACACAAGTGTTATTTTATTACTTACTCTGCATCCGGCAGCTCCATAATATCGGTAGTATTACGCAAATTAGACCGATGCCTTCTCAAAGAGCGCAGCTCTTCCTGCTCTGCAAAGACAGCCAACATTACAGTATCCATTGCTAAAAACAAGAAAATGATGTTAAAAATCATCGAACCCTTCGATTTAAACGCATATTTACCTGATAATCTAATTCGTTTTCTCAACTTTTTCAACAACAATTCATCTTGTACACATCGAACGCTGTTTATTATTAGTTGTTTTGACAGTTTTGGCTGTTCCGAATTGCTTCGAACACTTGTGTTGATGTGGCAACACTTTTTCGCATACGAATCGCATTCGAATACATTCGAACGAAAACAAGAATACCCTTTTCGAATTCGTTCAAATCGGTTCGCTCGTACGAATGTCGGATACGGCCGTAAACAAGAATAGAGGTGATAGTGTCTATTGGAAGATTGCCGTAAAATCTCAACGCAGATGTCGCCACTGCATGATGATGATAATGTTGACAGACTGCATATAAAATTCGTGAAAATTAGCGTTAAATCATAATTTTCATCAAGCCTGTGTAAAATCCTTCCAATATAACATTCGAATTGAAGAAGAAAACGTTTTCACGATCAGACTGATATGCATCTTTGACTTTTCCAGTTGAACTTTCATTAGATATATTCATTTCATTTCGCGGCTCCATCAATGCTGCATTGTAAATATGATGTAAACAGAAGTAAATTGCTCAATTACTCAAAATAAAGATGATTTGTATTCTTGTTATCACTTTGAAGACCATCTAGCACCATTTTATAGTATGGTGCGTGTTGAGTAAAGCAAGTTCCGTTGCGTTTTCCGTCGAAAATTGTGAGTATCAATATGTTTTCTTAGAAAAGGCCAAAATGAACATTTATTTAATATTGGCGTCCTATACAACCAATTCTCCATTACCACCAGCATGATACAACCTTTCATAAGTAAATGAACTTAATTTCCACTTTCATCTTAGTGTAAATCTCACATATTTACCATTTTCTGAAAAATGCAGCTGCGCAGGAGGTAACCTCTCCCTGTGGGTGCAAACTTGTTATGCATAATTTGCCATGAAAACATCTCCGATCCATACCGAAATAATAACAAATAGTTTTCAAACACGTTTTCTTACACGATTCAAGCAAAAGTTTCCACGGGAAATTATTAGTTTTTCTTAATGGACCGATTTGCCCCAAAAAGCGTCTGTTTTACTTGGAAAATTTGGAAACTATCCTCCTTCTAGTAGTTCTCACTTCGAAATGTAGGTGGCGAAAGCTTGGAAAAGTTTCACTGCAAGACGCCAATATGGATAATGCTTATTTATTCCCACGTATACCAGATGATTTAGGCTCTCCAAATCGTACTGCAGTTCAGATGATTTGTTTTACTAGATCAACAAAGACTGGGATAATATCTATAGTATCGAAATATCGATATGGAAAGCCTAGAACATTTGGCATACACGAAAATAGGTTGTCATGAGCCACATAGACACTTTGAATCTGTTTGGACATGTTTCGATACTACAGATATTGAATTAGTCTTGGGTGATCTAGTAGAAAAATAATCTGATCTCCATCTATGGGGCGACCCCGGCGTAGTGGTTAGCATCCATACCTCTCACGCCAAAGTCACGAGTTCAAATCTCACCTCCGGACAAGTCACGAATGACCCAAGAGCGTTAAAGTGACTATAATAATAAAAAAAAACTTATAACATCTTGTATACGTAGCAAGTCCAGTCCAAGCAAATCAACGCATGCCTACGCATCTACATGTAATTAAACCAGCGAGTGTGGGACACTAGGATACCCTAGGTGAAGGAAATGAACAACACGGCGTTGTATTCCTTCATCGTCTGGAGAGGGATGAAGGTGAACTTTCCATCGAAGCGAGGGACCACTATAGAAGATAAGTTGGAGGAGCATAGAAAAGTGTACAACTTACAGTTCAAGAAGTTTACATCAGCTTATGAGGTCGGCCAGAAGGTTTTCAAACGGAATTTGCGTCAATCGTCAATCTGGGAGTTTTTTCAGCCAGCGTTATCCGTCCGGGAAAAAAGACTCCACGTCGTTCTTCTGGGTGATTCCTTAAAAAAAAGAAAAGTTTTAGTTTCTGTCTTAAATTGCGCCTAAATCAGAAACAACTTACCGTACTAACACGTGTAGCATTATGGCACGTGTGAAGATGTAGTCCATAGGTCATCAATGTTGTCCAAAGGCTGTGATTCCTTCGTCAGAGAGGATAAATTTTACAGCATCTTATCATCATCGTCATCTCATCAGTCCGGTAGGGTCGTCGTTGATGAAGATGGAATGCTGAAAAAGAGAAAGAGAAAGATATATAATTATTGTTACCGGTAACAGAATTTCAGTCCGGATTGAAAAGGTGCACAAACAAAAGCCAACGACAAGGAAAAGACTAGTGTCTCTAAGTAGGAGAGATGGCACCGTCAGCGTTGACGGCAAATAACTCACGAACACTAGCGGACCGTGAGTACTGTGCCACCTATGCATCCTTCCATCTTGATCTTGGAATGAATACGAATCCATCTTCACATTATAGCCACTAGGAATTCCAGCTTCACCGTTAATTATTGTGTAGATTCCAATCGGTACTCACCAGCAAGCACACTTCACAAGTACCACCTAACTTTGTCACACATTTAATACCCCAACAATCCTGCACCACTGTCCGTTACAATTTTTTCAGTTGATGATGCATCGTTTAAAAAATTGACGTTTCAATGAAGAAAAAAACATGCACGCCTACGTTGATCAAAATTTCGATTTTCACGACTTTCACCCACTGCGCATCCCCTTCCATAGTCGCTACCATAGCAACACCATTAACACCGAATAGGGACTTTTTGGTGAATAAAAAATTCGTTTAGGGACCGTGCTTTCGAGCAAACCAATCGATGTGGCAGAATGCTATCATCGAAGATCTTTTTGTTTATGGAGTTCGAAGGACCACTACCGTGAGCTCGATCGTTGCATTTCAGAGTAGTAGTGATAGGCTTTAGATATAGTACCAATTTTTGTAGAAAAAAAAATCAGCTAGATTGATAGGAGCTAGGGCAGGAGCACATATGTGATTGGCAGGGAATGTGGTTGGAGTTTAAAGGTACTGAAAAATCACCCCTAATGATGATTTTGATTGAAACTGAAAATCGGTTTCGATCGAAATTAGTAATAGAGGTGACTTTTCAGTACATTTAACGAGGGCTTATCACATATGTGCTCCTTTTAGCTTGTTAGTTAGCTACCTCAAAATTTACCATTTACTTATAGTAGCTAGCTAGTTAAAAGAGTGGTATCATATTTCCCGGATTTTAATTTCAGATTGGGCCATTGATCAGTTTGACGTTTAAGATAAATCCAAGAAATTAGAACGTAACAACAATAAATTTCAGATGACGACCTTTCGTTTGAGCTTATTGCCAAAACGTCAACCCAATCACGTAAGTTTAACGATAAACCTGGTGCACAATGACAATGCATTAATCTGCGAGTAAATAACCTAGCTCTTACGTGAAGAAATAGAAGGTCGAAGGTCACACCTTTGAAACAAATAACTACACCAAGATTGGAGCTTTTCGTAGCTTTAGAGAGTGTCTAGGATAAGAGAGAAGCGGACTGGTTGATTTTACTCAACTGTCAAAGCCAGAACCAATCGAGCAACGCATGTCTTGATTGAAATGGCAGTGTTGCTAGAAACCACCTAGGCATAGGTTGCCAAGGTCGTTGGTTTTGAATATGTTTTTCTCTTATCCCAAAAACCCTCTTTACGTAGCACCTTTGGCTGTTGCGTTGCGCTATATAAGTAAAGAACGTCGTACCTTCGGTAGTCAAGATGCTGTTTAAACGAGTGGTGCGACAGTCAACATTGCTCATAGTGTCTATATGGATAATGCTTATTTATTCCCACGTATACCAGATGATTTAGGCTCTCCAAATCGTACTGCAGTTCAGATGATTTGTTTTACTAGATCAACAAAGACTGGGATAATATCTATAGTATCGAAATATCGATATGGAAAGCCTAGAACATTTGGCATACACGAAAATAGGTTGTCATGAGCCACATAGACACTTTGAATCTGTTTGGACATGTTTCGATACTACAGATATTGAATTAGTCTTGGGTGATCTAGTAGAAAAATAATCTGATCTCCATCTATGGGGCGACCCCGGCGTAGTGGTTAGCATCCATACCTCTCACGCCAAAGTCACGAGTTCAAATCTCACCTCCGGACAAGTCACGAATGACCCAAGAGCGTTAAAGTGACTATAATAATAAAAAAAAACTTCTAACATCTTGTATACGTAGCAAGTCCAGTCCAAGCAAATCAATGCATGCCTACGCATCTACATGTAATTAAACCAGCGAGTGTGGGACACTAGGATACCCTAGGTGAAGGAAATGAACAACACGGCGTTGTATTCCTTCATCGTCTGGAGAGGGATGAAGGTGAACTTTCCATCGAAGCGAGGGACCACTATAGAAGATAATTTAAGTTGGAGGAGCATAGAAAAGTGTACAACTTACAGTTCAAGAAGTTTGCATCAGCTTATGAGGTCGGCCAGAAGGTTTTCAAACGGAATTTGCGTCAATCGTCAATCTGGGAGTTTTTTCAGCCAGCGTTATCCGTCCGGGAAAAAAGACTCCACGTCGTTCTTCTGGGTGATTCCTTAAAAAAAAGAAAAGTTTTAGTTTCTGTCTTAAATTGCGCCTAAATCAGAAACAACTTACCGTACTAACACGTGTAGCATTATGGCACGTGTGAAGATGTAGTCCATAGGTCATCAATGTTGTCCAAAGGCTGTGATTCCTTCGTCAGAGAGGATAAATTTTACAGCATCTTATCATCATCGTCATCTCATCAGTCCGGTAGGGTCGTCGTTGATGAATGCTGAAAAAGAGAAAGAGAAAGATATATAATTATTGTTACCGGTAACAGAATTTCAGTCCGGATTGAAAAGGTGCTCAAACAAAAGCCAACGACAAGGAAAAGACTAGTGTCTCTAAGTAGGAGAGATGGCACCGTCAGCGTTGACGGCAAATAACTCACGAACACTAGCGGACCGTGAGTACTGTGCCACCTATGCATCCTTCCATCTTGATCTTGGAATGAATACGAATCCATCTTCACATTATAGCC